TTTACTGGTTTCATAATTTGTGCACAAACTGATATTGATGGAATAGTGCGCACGAGTTCCCTTAAATTTGACAGCGCTGTCTATAAATGTTACATAACGTATATCGCGCTGTCTAAGAAATATATTACTTACTCGAAAGAGGAATGTTAATCAGTAGCATAATATTGAAGCCTAATAACAGAATCTAAAACGCAAACATATTACCGTGGGTTCTCGGAAGGCGACGCGTTGTGGAATGGGCGGGTGGGTGTACCACTCGGATTTACGAGTATTTCGGATGGCATAAATGACAGTAATTGATGCGATCGCAAATATTGATGTGAAGAACTCTCGATTTTGAAATGCCGTTGCCATTGAAGAGATGTATTAATGAAATGTTTATTATTGGGAACACTAATTTAACTACTCAGCGAAGGTCCTAGACGAAGAGTACATAAAATGGGGTGACGACCACATGCAGAGAGATACCGCGGAGCAAAATATTGGGGGGAAATAGATGCTCGAGTATTAGAAAAGAAATGATATCTTCCGGATGTTAGTCAATATTGTGTTCAAGTGAAATTTATGCGAAGGAATAGTTGTGAAATCCTAAGGCGGTAACTTAACGAGAATGCTTTGGCATTTTAAAAATTTAGAGCGCCTTATCAACCTCACCATTTGTTACAAAGCAAATTCAGTCTGTTCACGGAGTAAATAAATAAATAACTTGTGTATTTCAGAAAACTTGGTAAACGACCGGTTAATCTATTTATGGTGATACACAACGTTTTGCATTTGACACAAATGCTTCATCAGGCGAAGTGAATTATCTAAACATTGGCCAACGTTGTGTATCACCATAAATAAATTAACCGGTCGTTTACCAAGTTTTCTGAAATGATGACTTCCCGATCGGTTCCAAATATGTTCCAATATATTGAGAACTTGTATATTTCTCGACGATGCGATAATCTGTTCCCTAATAGGGACACATCAAATTATGGTAAAAGTTTTCCATGACATTTCATTACTTCATTTTCAGAGATATACATGGGCGCAATTGCAAATTAGGTAACAAAGTAAGCAGAATCGTTGTGCCATTTTTTTCTTCCCATTAAAGCAGGATTCGTCCCAATCACATGAAAGATATTTGTTCCGAAAAGAAAAAGAAATATAACGAAAGAGGCTGTTGTCCGAACTGAATTGCGTATGTGTGTCGGAAATTTATTCAGGCACCATGGATACTGTTTTCGAGTGATTTATCTGGGGAATGTGATGTCCCAAACATCTTAATCACGTTTTTGACGGTTAAATGCTTAATAATTGCAAGCTTAAAATTGTAAAATATACGGCATGTTTTGATTTCACTTGGAAGTTTGTTCCAAATCTTTGAGTATTTGGTTAGAAAGGTTCTCGGATTCTTGTATTAAATTTTGGAATCATGACCAATAGCTGATTGGTACTTATTGGATATCTGCTGTTTAAAGTTATGTGAAGACCCTTTTACAAAACTGCGAATATGACAATTTGAGATTGTGTAAAGAAAACATAGGTTCAGCTTTATTATCCAAAGCCAAACTGGGTCAAATCCCAGTTTATCACATAGATCTCTATATGTCAAATTAGAGAAATATCCACGTAGCTTTTTCCTGAAGCGTCTCTGGACACCCTCAGGTGCGGGTTGGTCAGATTTCCGCAGATTAGACTGTACCGTTGAACACTATCCCATACACGACAATACGTATGTTTTTTAAAGCGAAATGCGCGATTCCGTGAAGTAAAAATGAGGGCAGATATACCCGCTGGTCTTCATGGCTTTCGAAACATGAAAGTCAAAGTGTTCAGAAAAGTTAAACGTGACTGAATATCTCACGCCCAAGTCGCGAATTGTCCTGCCTTGCGAGATATATGCGCCTTGTAATAATAAACTGTCTGGCTGCACTTGGTATTTGTATGATAAAATATTAGACTTCTCCACGGCAAATGACATCTGCCACTTTTGACAGCAGGAGTCAAGGGCAGATAGGTCATCCTGTAGGAGACGCACGGCTTTTGCGTATTTGCACTTGGTTGTGAGTAGACAACTTTAATGTCATCAGCAAAGATAACTGCAACATCATTGCTTATTCTCTGGAATATATGGTTAGTATAAATTAGAAAAGGAAGGGGACCAAAAACACTCCCTTGAATCACTCCACCAAAGATTGCCTTCGGTTTAGCGAAATGGTCGCGTATGCGCACCACCTGCTCTCTACCAATTAGATATGAAAGCTAAGAGAACATCGGTTCTCCAATGCCTATAGCATTCAGTTTGTTTAGTAATCTGTGAGGCACTCTACCAAAAGATTTTGCATTTCCAGGAACAGGATTACGGCAATGTTTCCGTTGTCAATGGCAGCCGTTGTGTGGTTTGAAAATATAGTCTGGCAAGTTGCGCACGATCGACATTGCATGAAGCTGTGTTGCGAAATGCTGATAATGTTAGCGTGGCTTAAGAATACAAATAGTTCATCCATCACTATGCTTTATATTATTCTAGATACGATGGGTGTGTGATTGATGGGGCGGATGTATCAACCTCGTAGGCAGCCCCAATTTTAGGTTGTTGGATAATGACAGAAATTTTCCTTTGAGTGGGGTAAACTCCGTTGTTAAAAGAGAAAGTAAAGATGTTGAGCAAAAGCAGAAGAAACTCACTACCATTTTTTTGTTAAAGAAAGGGGATCCCATCAGGTTCTGCTCACGTTGAGGAGTATAAGCGAGAGACTTGACCAATGATTTCTGCTATAGTGAATTCCACTGTGTATAGACTTATATTATTGTGCGGCATGAAAAGTGTCGGTGTGTATGACGATTCATAGGGCATTGATTCGTCAAAATAAACACTGAACGCTTCGCAGATATTACCTGATGCGTGCTGATATGTTACATCAGGTGTGATGATAAAATTGAAGTTGTGGCTGCAACGCGAACCTCGGGCACGGAATAGTTTGGCTAGCTCAGCTGTTTTTCTAGGGCCGTTCAGCGTTTTTTACTATTCTAGAATAAGGCTTTTTACGTTGATGCCTCTGTTCTTCGACGAGCTTCGACTGCTGTAATAATAGCGCAACCTCAGGAGTTAACCTGAATTTCCGCCGAATCATTTGAAGCTTTATTGCTGCCTTCCGCAACTTGCGGTCGGATTTATATTTTGTTGGGTATCCACAAGTTAGTAGTAAAGATGGATGGATGCAGAAGCAAAATATACTATAAAGCAGGTTCGTCGCATGTTGAAGACATAAAAAGAGAAAGAATTTATCACAATTCATAGAATAAACCAGGTCCTTGAAAGAGTTAGGTTGACAGAAATGAACACACCATAATGTATTGCGTTCTGTACAGAGGCTTCAAGTGGAACGGGGACTTACTTCAGCACCAATATCAAAAAGAGCTATCAGTGATATTTTATATTACTGATAGAATCCCAGTAGCTCGAAAACAACAAACTGTATAACTTCACCTTTAGCACAATCCCCTCGGGTTTATTGCGGGTTTCCGTCATTCTTTACCACGCTCCGTTGCACTGCTGGAAGCATTCTTCCACGATGCTCCTTAATACCAGCGTTGCTTAGAGCAATATCAATTGAGTATGAGGGCTGTTCTATTAAAGTAATTTTTCTCGGTCAGTAATGTCCGGGTGCCCGGAGCGTTATGAGCAGGAGTATAGTCATGAAGAAGCATCCACGATTTGCTGTCATAGTTATCGTCTGTTAAAGCGCACTCAGCGAAGCAAACGTTTCAATAATAAGGCAACAATAATTGGCATAAGTGCGACATAGTCAATGGTCAGGTTTGAAGTGCAGGTGACCCAGGTGCAGGAAACGAAAGTTCATAATCTAATACGAAAAAGGAAACAACGCAGTGCCAAACATATCTGACGACAATGTGCCCAACATTTACAGATCACACAGTGAGGCTAGGGAGGGAATATTAACAGTCACTTCACAGTAGGAAATGAAGGGCCAGGTATCAGGGGGAGGAGTCTGCTGCTACAAAATGAACAAATTGGTGGTTTAACCGAGCGAGCCATCTGTGCCTTTCACGGATGGGTCTGTAAAGTTTAATGCAATATCAGTAAACAATGCCGACTTTAATCTAATTATCCTTATGACCGACAACGCGCCCCGCAAAGTTGGCTTGTTCCGGTGTTGACGACACCTAAGGAAAAGGTATACCTCGACCTCCCATTTAAGGGTAACCCCGCTTCAACGAGGGCAACCAAGCGCTTCCTCTACGTCACTCAGATAATGTAATGTGCTACAGATGCTGTGGTGATGAACAGCATAGGAACATGGACCTATCAGCGTCAAATCACACAATACTCACTAATCCGATAATCCCTGCTGCGTTAGTTAGATAAGCAAGACTGAGGGGGTTTTGAATTCCAGAGTGAACGAATCCCGGACCAAATGGGTTCAAGGTGAGGTCAGCCATTTCGCGTTCAATATTCCTTGTGCACGCAAACGTGAACATGTTTTATTGACCTCTTATCTGCTTGACACCGGCTCCGCATTTCGGCTGCTATCACGTAATCCTAATCCACGCTTATCACTGTTCGCGTAAGCCGTGACGACAAGCCAGCTAAGACCTGACCTATGAGTGCAGAAACAGTCAGTTTTTGACCTACGAATACCCCGGTCTTAGGACGATTGCCGCTGTTGTGTTCCGCCTAATTTGAGCGAATCGATTATATTGGCAATATACAGGAGGGGTAGTCGCATAAACTGTTAACCACAGGGGGTATTAGCCTAAAACCAGTTGGGACAAAATTAGGGCCACAATTATCTATCGTCACCTCAATGCAAACAGGAATCACGGATTAGGGAAGTGCATTCCATTTTGCGCCCGGCAGGGGATACTAAGGATCTTCCAACACAGAATTTAACACAGTCGAGATAGCAGCAAAAATAAGGAATTTACCGTTTCGTTTGTTTATCAACAAGATAGGTGCTACCCATTATAAATAAAGAACGCCTTGGATTATCCCCTCAGCTACCAGTCGGTCCAACCCAGCTTGCACTACGTACTGCGTTGCGTAGGGCAGCGGGCATCTTGGTCTGAAGAACGGCTTGGCGTCTGGTTTACGGTTCAACGCGGCAGTTGCTATGTTGCCGCCTCCGAAACCTGGTTGAAACAATGCATCCTGACGGCGTTTTATCTCGGCGATTTGACTTTTAAACGTCGGGCTTGACGTCCACGGTTGCGACAGCAGTGTGATTTGCGGTGGCTGACATATACTGTTCATTGATTAATCAAGCAGTTTCAGATCATTCATGCAGTCGAGCCCCAACGAATCTAACCCCGGCTGGTCTGTCAATAAATATGTCCCATCGACCTGTTTCCTGCGAAGTCTACCTGACAATTCAGTGCACCAAGCGTTTTTAACGTACCACGTGAAGCATTCAGTGCTTGTGATTTGTTTGTATGAGTGGCTTTCGCCCCAGCCTGCAACAAGTGTCCCGAGATAGCAAAGTAATTTCTGAAGTGTTATCGATTTGTGACTTGACTTGGAACCCGTGGATTTTCACAATGGTGTATTTGCACTAACTGGTCCCGTCCACCTTGAAAGATGTGGTGATAGATCTGGTCAATTTGGGACGCCAGAACAATCTGGCATTGTTACGCATCTTTTTGTACAAAACTGCACGACGAGTCATGAATCCTTATTCCCATTTACGCCGCAACAGTTGCTTGAGTTCTGAATGCGCCTCCGAGAGCTAAATGCCATCCTCTACAAAACAAACGTGCAGCACGGGGGTTAGAATGCCGTAAACCTACGCGGGGAACCTCTTTTGGGAGAGTACGGTTGACTGCGCAGACAACTGCTGAATAACCGCGGTATCGTGCTCAACATCCGGCACTAATTTGCACTCACCGGTCACTCGTTTCAATGAGACCTCCGGATTCTGCCCAATTGTGTTCAGTATTTGTGTTCGAATATCGGCGTTATTGGATACTTGTAGAACACAAATGTATTAGAGACATTTAAACTAATCACTTGTCATCATGTGTAATTGTGACCGTACGGAAGTGCGATTTACAAGGCTGGAAAAATCGACCCAGTATTCGTTTTCCTTTAATGTTATTTTTAGACAGTTGTAACCAATGTCTGCTCTACGAAAATATGCGAAAGGACTGCGAGCACTTCATAGAACGGCAAACCGATACCCCTTTTATGTAAGGTAAAATAGTGAACTTCTCTTGTTCGGTAGCATACATGTTCCGCAGCATTATTGGAATGAATTTCCGCTGAAAGTTTTACTTTTTCAAACCGGAACATGTCTTAATTCTTGTAGAACCAAGGAGCAGTTGTTAGGTCAGAATAAGCGTCATAATAGTAATCACTGATCTGATTGATGGTTCACGGTTTCTGGTAAGGGAGCACTATCAATTGTCCCTAACCCAGGGCTTGACTGCACTGTCAGGTTCAGAATTAGCATCCCGATTAGCTTAAGCTAGGATGCTACAAACCATGACTTTTGTCGCTGCTAAATGATATGTAATATTTAAAATCTGATGACCATCCCTGATTTCGGTTGAACTCGCTACCGCATTGTTATAACGCTGTACCCGCAATCGACCGGTTGATTTACACCTGCTGGTAAATCTGCGACTTTACGCCTGCTCTACTTGGCGCCTTGGGAAATCTGACAGGAAGGAACGCAGAAGAAGTCTCAGCCGACAAGAGCTGTATTAAGATCGAGAACGCCGATATTTATATGTCGGTCTCACCAATCCTCTAAACACGGCCTGGCGGATTAAGCTATACTCAGGCCCTCTACATTTGATTGCCCCCTCTGTATAGTCAGTACACCGACTTGCTCGAGCAAGCCAATCCTCATCCGCCAACCCGGTGCAATGCAACGTACGTGATGTTTGACGCGCGATTTCATTAACTTCCGGTTAGACTGGCAACACGCACGCTGTCTGATGCGCGATTTCATCAGCATCCTGCTGAGCCCTAGCAACAGGATCGCAGGGTCTGTCCCAACTATGACTTGTGGTGAAAGCGCCCGAGTTGGCAGACAGGTTTCTCGCCCAGCTGTCACAGTCACGTGAGACAATCAAGGGATAGCAATAGAAACGTTGTGTACAGAAAAAGGCGGTAAAATTGCAATAGGAGACCAATGCATATGCATGAGGAAAAGTAGTAAGAATGCGTTGGCAGTACTAGGATGCATTTGTAAGGAGAAATACCTTGTTTGGCTTTGCCACTGAAGATCACCAAGCTGAGGCTCAATCCCCTTAACCGTTAAATCATTGACCACAATTCCAGCAAGCATCTTCCGGCATTCCATGACTCCGATCGACTACGGATTTGCCTCTCAAGCCGATAGGTCCACCACTTGTGATGTTATATGGGAAGAGGACGCGAAACGAAAAATCCAGCGAGGAGGACGAAAGAAGACAAATTAGAGCCAACGTTACGAGTTAAGGAACCTTAGGTTTGGATTAGGTTTCCGCAAATATAAAAAACCACGAGCAATGTCATTTACCATTGACCTCTCAACAAAGTCAGTACATACTGTTAAATTTCTCCTTAGCTACATACGGAACCCTCTGCCTGCGGCCTTGTTCCGGTTGTCACCCGAGTGTAGTGTCGAAGCATGTAGGGTGCCTGTATCAACCTGGCTGAACGCATAGTGGAGTTGGACCCAAACGTCTAACTACACCGAAGGAAGACAACTTGTTCATTTGCGAAATTGGAGTAACCTGTCTGATGCATGCACAGCTGTCAAAGGAGTTCTGAAACACGACAGACAGCGGTATACGTAGTTCTGCAGCCAACTAATATAGCGGCCCAAGGCAATTTACTTTAAGTTATTGCAACTTCCAGTTTATCACCTATTTATTATCTTTGTGCCGCAACACGTTATGCTTTTTTGCCTATCAGACGCCGTGTGCAGCAAATAAGACATCCGGCGACGTCCAGATAGCAATTTGTGCCTCACTTTATGGTCTGCCAGCATTTGCCAAGTAATAATTTATTTTATTATTTATCAATCAGTGCACTTGATGTACATAAATGCTGGCCACAATTCCGCAGCTCAAAAGCTAAATCGTTACCCATGTGCCTGCTTCTCCTAAGGTTCTGTCTCTTCTGCAGGTGAACCAAACGTGACATGGTATGCCATTTGCAAGCGGCCATTGGTTAGGTACACACCTTATTGGTAATTGGCTTACACAGCCAATGATGTAATGCACCGTATATCGCTCTATCGCTCCAAACGCTGCCTCCATCTCTCCTAGCATTGAATGTAACTGTCCTGTGTATTCCCACTTGTAAGCCGCCACAGATAAGTTCCAAGCCTAATTGTTATTTGGCTTTCAATGCCCATGCTTTCAGTGTTACGCTGCCTCAGCCTCTCGTGGCTGCATAGAAGTGGAACACTTAGATGAGATTCCCCAAACGACCACAGCAACTTCTTCCACAGAGTTCATCAGCGCACATGCTTGTACCCGTCGCCATTCGCCGTATATCTCGGACGTCAAACGGCCTATGTTTCTCCTACTATTTTAAGAACCCTAAACTTGTATGTGGATTACCAACCACACACAGGTACCCGATACATTTAATTCTAAATTGCATTCCAATGCCGAAGCTCCATGACCACACTGAATCCGCCTACCTTGCCACAACTCTGGTCGTGCCTTTGAATGAACAGTTTCAACCGTCGTCTCTATCGCCAAATAACCGTGCTGCCTAAGTAAATTGAGCCTCCGCTTTTGATGTAGCTTCATATCACGGAATGGCTACACAAAGTTAAGCGAAATTGTTCATAAGCAAGTCGCTTTCGGGTCCTTCTATATTTCATTTTTTATGCCTAGGTACTAACATCGTGCATCTGCAGATGTATCATGATGACTCAATTTATTTTCAGAATGTCGCGAAACATGAAACGTCGGTTGCCATCCATTCTTCCAACGTACCTTTAGAACTTAGAACGTACTGCCAGTAAAAGGTCTTTTCCAGTTAACCGTTTAACTGCCATGGCTGATTTACATTATTACACGGTAACATTATGCTTAAAAGTACGACAGCAGCATCTGCTTTTAACCACGCGGATCATTCCGACCATATGGTTCTCTACAAGTCAAGTATGTGGATAGATAAACCCACCAACGCCATAAAAGAGAATTTGCTATCCTAACGAAGTACGGTGCAGAAAGTGAAATATGCTCATGATACCTCCCATAAAAAGACATATGTACCTGTAAAATATACTTTCCACTTAGTTTTGGACCCCTGTGCACACGCCAACACTTTGTCCATGTAAGTAGTATGTAGCTCTCTAGATATTTTCGGTGATGCTCACGCCCATCACTGAACTCCGCGGCTGACGGTTTCATTCTCGTTTGCACTCTTCACGTGGACATAGCCTCGCTGGGAGTGGGATTTGGCGCATAGTAATTAGCGGCTATCGTCACGATCACTAGACCATTGAGCTCAGCGAGCACTGCTCGACACCGCGGCTAGAAGTTGACTTTCGGACTTTTGATTACCCACTGTGTGTCAAAGATTGCATCAAGCAATCTCACTTGTGGCTTCGGTTGACTTGGAACTCAGCTTCTGCCAACATGATCACTGGGACCATCACCGAAGTAGAGAGATTCGGGGTGGCTCTTTCCCATTTCTTTCCTACAAGATCAACGGCTTCGTTCTGGATGGACTCATCAGATACCCCCTGTTCACAATCAAAGGTATATATACACATATATATGCGTATATTTGGTTACAGTCTCTACAAACTGCCTCCTGTTCCGCTAGCTTGAGAGTTTCACATAGGATGGAGTCGATTTATGTAAAACTAAACCAATACCGCTGCTCTGCTGACGTTCTTTTGAGCCAAAGACCTTGGTTTAGAACTGGAATCATCCTCCGGTCTAGGTTCGGTGCACTGACATTACTTCAACCCACATACAACCATGGGGATTTCCCAAAAAGCTTACTAAATCCTGCATTGGCCGTCACAGAGATTATCAAGTGTGGCCGTATCTGGTACACGCAGCACGGCCGATAAGCGAACAAATGCTGCTGTTAGCGTCTCCCTTCTTTCTGTTCCACCTGTTTCTCTTACCTCCATCCCGAGCTCATTACTAACCTTTCTGTAATTCCCAGTTTAATTAACAGCATCCGCAATGCCACTAGAGTGCCACCATCTGCAGCCTCCTTCCCGCACCACCCATTGGATACTTATCGGCGACAGTCCCTTAAGAGTTCACGCCGTTCCGTTTTTCTAGCGGAGTTTGACCTTTGCACTCTAAAACATATAGATCAACTGGCTGCACTCGCACGTACGTTGGACACACTAGGTATTCAAATTTGGAGAGGGGATAGACAGCGAGCAGTCCATCTTTAAGAATCGAACGTACATGAGCAGTGAATATGAGTCTGAACATCTCGGGGGTCAAGCGGGAGAAAGATCGTCGTATGGTCAAAAACACGCTGTTGTATTAAGCGACTTTCCTCAACCTATCTTCAGTCGATTTTAGGTCTGGGATCATAACTATGCCAAGCTCTTTCTGACGATTAGAGTTTGGCAGCAAAAGCCCACCGATATAAAAAGTTGCAAATGTTTCGGAGACACGATAGGAAGGACGGAGCATTTATCGCGATTTTGGGTATTTGCCACCTGAGCTATCAATCATGTAGCGAATGGAGCCTTGTAGTATATCCGCTTCATCCACACAGGAGGCAACCATCCATAGCTTGAAATCTGTGTACACCAAATAACCTGTAATACAGACATCATCATCATAATCAACAGCAGTACATCAGCCATTTGAACTGATGCTTCGCTGCCATACAACCATGAGGACCTATGAAATAAAGAATAAGAAGAGGGATAGAAGGGGGACTTACCTGAAAACCTTAATGCCCTAAGCAAACATTCTGGGTCAAGGCGCCTACACCTTGTGTTAACAACAATCCGTCACAAGCAGCTGGCTAACGTGCACAGATAAGGCGGCATCGGCGAGACAACTGCCTTGCGGCTTTCACTGCCACGCGTCATAATCAGCCATTACCCCTGCAGCTAACTCAGCACCAAACACACTTTAAACAGACAATCTGCTTAGGAGACGGCAGCAGACGCGCCACTGGTGTCGGTTGCGAGCCATGTCCTGTATAGTCTCGAGCCAAGCACAAGGTGAGTCACATGGACTCCAACCCGGTAGGCGAGACGGACCAAGGGCACCCAGTTTGGTCGTCAGTGATTTCATTTCCCGCCGCCAAGTCAACTTCTGTCCACCTCGAGACTTGCGCCATCCTACACTTGGTAGACTGAACAAGGCCCTCCTGAGTAAGCGGTGACCAGGCATGCGTAGCAAGTGCCCGGGCCAACGCAACTTATTCAGTGCTATCTGTTGTTCTAGGGAGCTAGCATGATCATCACCACCTAGTACTCGCCTACGCAAATCACCGTTGCGGACACGCTGGTGCCATCCGGCACCAGCAATGCTTCGCAAACAACGATGATCAAAGACTTGAAGGCGCCTCAGATCTTCAGACCGAAGGGGTCAAGTCTCAATACGATACAGCAGAATGGCCCTCACTGTGGCCTTGTATACACGGCCTTTCAGACGGAGGGAATCTCCGTTCTGTCGCCAAAGATGACACAGGTTCAAGAAGGCGGCTCTGGCCTTTGCAATGCGTGAGCTGACGTCAGTTTCTATGCGCCCATCATTGCTGATGCAGCTGCCAAGATAAGTGAATTGATCAACCACCTCGAGTTCCTCGTTAGTAAGCGTCAAGCGGTCATCAAGTGGCTGGTGTTTCTGCAGCAACACTTTGCACTTTGAAGGTGCGAAGTGCATACCAAATAATCGGACCACTTTGCATAGGCTATTCAGGGTTGATTGTGCCGCGTCAACATTGCGAAAAGCAAGATGATATAGTCCGGAAAATCTAGATCAACTAACCGTTCACCAGGCAGCACTTCAACACCTACATCGTGAGATTCCGCAAGGGAACACTCCATCATAGAAACCACGACGAAAGTGAACAAAAACGGGGAAATCGGGCAACCCTGTCGAACGCCACTTGTAGTCGAAAAGATATCCGATAAGTCACCATAGACCCTGACGCGGCCTGTAGTGTTTGAGTATAGAGCACGAAGGATGTTCACATATTTCGTGGGAATACCTTTCCGCGCAAGTATTTCGAACAGAATCGATCGATCGACTGAATCGAACGCACTCTTGAAATCGAGGAACACAGCTATTGTCGGTCTGCGGTATGCGTGGCGCTGCACTAGCACCTGCCGCAAAGTAAATATATGGTCTATGCAGCCGCGTCCTGAGCGAAAACCGGCCTGCTATTTCCTAATCCGAGATTCCCGTTCTGCAGTGAGGCGACGAACGATAATCGAGGCCAGTAATTTTGTCACAACTGGCGTTAGGCTAATACCCCTGTGGTTCGCACAGTCTGTGCGACTGCCCTTTTGTATATGGCCACTATAATCGATTCGCTCTAATTAGCCGGCACACACTCTTCGTTCCAGATACGTTCGAATAGGGAGGTCAGTGCTTTGCAGAGGACCTCACCTCCATCCTTAAATAGTGCAGGCGGGAGGGGATCTGGGCCAGCGGCACGAAAACGATTGAGGGCTGTGATCGCGTTTCGGACCTTGGCCTCCGACGGAGGCTCTAAACTAACCGTGCATGGCTAGTCCTGCATCACCTGAGTAGGAAGATGTCCAGGAACAGGGGGCTAGCTGAACTGATCTTCAAAATGCTCAGCCCAAGGAGTCATACGGCGCTCCTTATTGTATATCAGCGCACCCGCGCTGTCCCTGATTGTCTCACTGACGCGTGGTTTACTCGGATCATTGGTGCGGATTAGCTGGAAGAGCTTCCGGCAATTGCCTACTGCTCCTGCCTCCTCCATTTCTTGAGACCGACTTGTCCACCAGGCTTCCTTGTCAGCACGTAGGCTCCGCTTTAGTTCACGCCTAATAGCCCGTCTGGTCACATTGTGTTCAGAGCCAGCCGGGTGGTGCCTTCTAGCTTCCAAAAGGTTCACGGATTTTCGGATATCCAGTGACTGGTGCGATGACCACTGATAGTGCAACAAACAGATGCTCCTGCGCCGTGCACGGCCACCGAGATCCTATTCCACTGAAGTTCAGTGTCATTAGGGTAAGACAGCGAGAGTTCGCTGTGCAGTGCTTCTTGATAGGCTTGCTTGACAGATAGCTGGGACAATTTCTCCGTTGGCAATCGGGGGAGACGCTTTGTGCGCCTTCCGGTAA